AAAGGAAGCCGTCTGGATGGATTATGCCCATGCTGGGCAACGTGGCATCACTGAGTTGCTATCCCCTGATGTAGTCAAGCTGTAAATCATAGTCCCATGATGTTCTCCAAGCTATAGAGCATGATAAATGTGGTTTTGCTATTGCAAGCAACATAAACATTTCCTGCTTTATGTGGTTTTAGATAGCATCAGAAGGTAGCTTGAAACAGACCCAGCTTCCAGAATCTCTGAAGCTGATAAATATACCTTTGGTTAGAAAGTGAAGGAAATAACAAGGAATAATGAGCAAAGTAGAAAGAAATTTGGTTCTCAGCAGAGGTTATGTATATCTATGTTTTTCTTTAAAGGTAAGATATACTACAGCATTTCATTGCAGCTGTGGGGTTCTGGTAACAGACTGAGACTGAGGGTAGAAAATTGTCTGTTATATCCCAAAGAAGGACATCAGCAGGGTATTGTGGTTGTAAGGCCAAATATTCAGTCTTTAGGAAATACCAGAATTAATACTGTCCAGCCTTGATGTAATAAAAATGGCTGTAACAATGGGAATAGGCATGACATGTTTTGCCATCTGTTTAATGACACAGCTGTAGAGACACTCAGAAGTCCTGGTCTCTTGTCTCAGTTCTGGGACTGGATATATTCTAATGGCTCCTGTGTTTCTGTCCTGTACTAACACCTGCCCTCTCTTTCCTCCTCATTGCCTTCTCCAGGCACTTACCCACCAGCTCTCATCCCCACTTTCCTTTTCTCCACTCTGTAAGATGGTTGCTTAATCCTCAGAGCTGCAACCATTTCTTCCCTGAAGCTTTGGTTATGGCAGGGGAGCATTTCAGGAAGGCCCTGCATTGTCCCTCTCAGCTATGGTGCCTTCCCAATGTCTTTCCCTTTGATGGAAAACTAGGTGTGGATGAGCATCATCAGCTGCATAGCAGAGTTTAAAGATCCTCCTAGAAATGGATACCAGTGACATTCAGTAACATGCATCTTACAGGGCACAGCTTTGTTTTGGTGTTCCAAGGATAAATGCAATGGTGAAAGGAATGAATCCAAGGGGACACACACTGGCTTGTGTTTCTTGATTGATTGCCTTTCAGAGTTCCGTTACAGGTCCTGAGGTTGGACTACAGGTTAAAAATCTCAACATTATTGCAGTGCCAGGATGAGCTAAGACCATCTGAATTGGTATCAGTGTCCTTGCATGCATCTCCACTTAAAAAGGAGTCATCCTTCAGTCCATCCCTCCATTTATCTCCTTTCTGGCTCACTGCTAATAGACAAGCTGATCTCTATTATTAATGAAGATTTAGGATTATTGGTATGAGTTTACAGAGCTTGCTAGACTGGAAATACTTAAGTTCCTGTTTTCCATCCTGTAAATCTTATTCACTGTTTTATAAGCTATGATAGACTAATGACCACATGCATTGCTGGCTCTTTTTTTGACAGTTCATAATCCACTCGTAGTTACTTGTCAATGGTTCAGTGATTTACGGATTTTGGATATTACCCTCACTTGAAAATCTGATTGTTGCCATCAGCCTCTTGGGGTGTTCAGGCAATGTGGAATCAACAGGATGCAGATTGTATGTCTCACATCTATGTTATGGGAATGATACTATCACTGCTGAGTGGAATGACAAAACCATCCTATACAATGGAGAGGAGTGCCACAGAGGCAGCCAGATCTGTTAAAAAATTCATTTCCTGCCTTAGTTTGTCCTTGAGTGGTCTGTCCGTATATGATATTCAACCCTGACTACATCCAATGATGGCAGCATGTCCTCTTTAGCACTGGCTGAAAGGTGAATTGGCAGCCTGTTTCGTGTGCTGTCGGCGTCCTTTTCAGTTGCATATGGTACAGAAGACTAACCTGAAGAAACAAGGTATTTGCTGGCCACATGTCTCTCTTTGCAGTCAGTCAACCGTCCAATGTAAGTGCATCCCAGAGTCCTGAGGGAATGCATCCCAGTGTCCTGAGGGAATTGCATCCCAGAGTCCTGAGGGAATTGGCTGATGTAGTTGCTAAGCCACTCTCCATGATATTTGAAAAGTCATGGCAGTCAGGTGAAGTTCCTGGGGACGGGAAAAAGGGAAATATTGCAGCCATTTTTAAAAAGGGTAAAAAGGAGGACCCTGGGAACTACTGACCTGTCAGCCTCACCTCTGTGCCCAGGAAGATCATGGACCAGATCCTCCCAGAAGCCACGCTAAGGCACATGGAGGACAGGGAGGTGATCCAAGACAGCCAGCACGGCTTCACCAAGGGCAAGTCCTGCCTGACCAACCTAGTGGCCTTCTACAATGGAGTGACTACATCAGTGGACTAGGGAAGAGCTATGGATGTCATCTATCTGGACTTCTGTAAGGCCTTTGACATGGTCCCCCACAACATCCTTCTCTCGAAATTGGAGAGATATGGATTTGATGGGTGGACTGTTCAGTGGATGAGGAATTGGCTGGATGGTCACATCCAGAGGGTAGTGGTCAATGGCTCGATGTCCAGATGGAGACCAGTGACAAGTGGTGTCCCTCAGGGGTCCGTACTGGGGCCAGTGCTGTTCAATATCTTCATCAATGACATAGACAACAGGATCGAGTGCATCCTCAGCAAGTTTACAGATGACACCAAGCTGAGTAGTGCAGTTGACACGCCTGAGGGATGGGATGCCATCCAGAGGGACCTGGACAAGCTGGAGAAATGGGCC